CAGAGAAGGGGTTGTTTTTAGGACAGAACGTATGCTCCCGGGAGAAGAACTGTAATGAGACTAATGCAGGCTAATGAAGGAATCAAAATCTTGGCAAGCTCCAGTTCAGCCCTGCATGTGTGCTCCCTAGAAAACAGCACAAGCACTTCCCAGAAACTCATCATCAGGGAAATGAAAACGCCTCCTTCCCTTTCCACGCTGCCCAGCGGCTCATCATTGTTGCAGTGCCATCGGAGGGGAGGCCTATCCTCCTTCCCTCCTGATCATCTCACCATGATAATTCCTCCAAGCAGTCACATTTTGTGATGTGATCTGCTCTAAGATGAATGAAGAGTAAGACCAATTTCCATAATTACTATTGCATATTTGTGGGAGCACTCTTCTTAGAACTCATGTGTTTTGAGACTTGGTGTGGAGAAAAACAGTAGGTATACTACAATTAAGGGGATTACCTGATGGTGGAACAAAGCTTACGTTCATGTGACTTAAAAAAGTCACATTCTAAAGGTCCAATCTCTTGCCTCATGGTCTGGTGGAGACTGAGTAATGTCAGAGTATCTACCAACTGGCAGGTCTTAAATAGTGTCTCAAATCATGAGATACTCCATACTGAAAGCGCCATACCTTCCGTATCCAATCTCCAGGCCATCTATTTCATACCCACAGCTTTGAACCTCTCTCTATTGTACGATGATCACAAATCACAAACATTTAGTTTCTAGCCCTAGTTTTCCCTTCAACTTTAGACCTATGTTGCCTACTGTCCTAGACAATACCACTTAACTGTTTCACAAGTACCTTCAGCTCTGCATGCTTAACCCAAGACTCTATTCCCTTTCATCCCAACCTGTAATCACCCCAGTGATAAAATCAGTCTCTGAAATCTTCCCATCAATTCTCATTCCCTATGTGAACCTTCTACCAGGTTGAACCCATCTGTCCTCTTAAATATTACTCCAATCTGTCTCTTCATTCTTAGAACCAGTGGTTGAGCATTTGGAAATTGATTAAATAAGGGGAACAAGTCTGTACTGGTGATTTTTTAAAAGATTTATTTGAAAGGCAGAATTACAGAGAGGCAGAGAGAGAGAGAGAGAGAGAGAGAGAGAGCGAGGCAGTTCTTCCATCCACTGGCTCACTCCCCAAATGGCTGCAATGGCTGGAGTTGGGCCAATCTGAAGCCAGGAGCTTGGAGTCTTCTTGGATCTCCCACATGGGTGCAGGGGCCTGAGCACTTGGGCCACTTCCCATTGCTTTCACAGGCCATAGCAGAGAGCCGGATGGGAAGTGGAGCAGCTGGCGCCCACGTGGGATGTCTGCACTGCAGGCAGTGGCTTTACCCACTATCCCTCAGCACCGGCCCCTGGACTGGTGATTTCAAGGTGCTTCCACAAAGGCAGGAGCTTTACCTACTACCTGGCTTTACTCTCTCACTAAAGCAACTCAAACACCCACATGCTTGCTACATCAGCTCCCACTGGATGACTGAAGGGACTGTGGCAGGACGACAACCCCAAGTTCCCTTCTGATTTCTGGATGGCATCTTATGTCGACAGTGCCCCTGGATACTGTCTCCCTTCAAGTTGACAACTCCTTAAGACAGATTTTAAGTGCCATTAGTTTGGTTTTGTTGTTGTTGTTGTTGTTTTTGCCGATAAAAGAACTGAGGCTCTGAAAAGTTTAAAAGACCTGCCCAACGCATCTGCCACACAGCTAGTAAGAGGTCTCACAAGACCACCTTAACCCCGACTTCAGTGTTCTCTTCAGTACTAGATAAGTTTGTATTTTAGAGGTGTTAATAAGTCCCCTTTTCCATGCAATGGTTCTTTCTTTCTTTCTTTCTTTCTTTCTTTCTTTTTTTTTTTTTTTAAGACAGAGTTACAGAGAAACAGAGAGAAAAGGAGAGATAGAGAGATTTTCCATCTGTGGGTTCATTCCTCAAATAGTCACAGTGGCTGGAGCTAGGCCTGTCTGAAGCCAGGAGCTTCTTTGGGGTCTCCCATGTGGGTTCAGGGGCCCAAGCATTGGGCCATCTTTGGCTGCTTTCCCAGTTGCATTAGCAGTGAGCTGGATCAGAAGTAGAGCAGCCAGTCTCAAACCAGTACCTACAAGGGATGCTGGCACTGCAGGTGGTAGCTTAATCCACACCAATCCTCCATGCAATGGTTCTGAGAGACATTAATGATGTGGATATCAAGCTGAACATTGGATTGAGTGCCTTGTAATAAAATTCCTTTCGGTTCTGGTTCTCTAAGACCCAGGTAAGACTGTCAAGTACACAAAGCTGGTCTCTGAATTCTCTCTCAAGTACTGCCCTTCTTCCCTCTGACACTGATCTCCAGTCAGCACGGATTCCTTGCCTGACTGCTGATTTCTTAAGCTTGACTTGCCAAGCATGGGGCAGTACCCAGACTTCAAGGCCTTTTCCAACTCTTTGTTGGACATCTTTTCAATCTACCTGCAAAAGGAATCTGAATGTAATCTGAATTACTGAATGTAATTCAATCTCCAGAGCCAAACTGCAATTCAGAGGAACTATGGAGGAAAGAGGCACAAGCTAACTGGCACCATAATGAAACAAACAGGTTAAGCGTACCACATGTTCTCCAGGACAACTGATCTGATCTCCACAAGCTGCTGGCAGGGAGGAAAAAAGGAGAAGGACTGCTCTAGAGTTGAAGACTGAAGAGACAGAACTAGCAGTTGTAAAGGTTTTAGATTCTAATTTATTTAAACGAACTTTAATAATAATTCAAAAGGCATTTTAGAAATCAGTATTCTCCATGAACTGGTATTTGTGGATATCAAAGAATTAGTATTACTTTGGTTGAATACCATTAGCATTATGACTATGCAATAAAATGTTCACAGTATTGAGATGTATACTAACTTACACAGAAATGAAATAGTGTTGCCTGGGAGTTATTTTAAAATACTTTAAAAAGAAAAAAAAATAGACAAATACTGATAATTATTAAATCTAGCTGTTGGGCATACGAGGGTTCCTGATGGTAGCTCTTCCACTTTGGTGTACATTTAAAACTTTCTAGAATTGTGAAATTGTATCCTGAATCCTTTCTTCCAAGAGTCCTATTCTACCAAAGAGGGAATCAGATTTAGTGAGTTTTAAACACTAATTTTTGCTGAGATGTGCTAGTATTTCACTCCCTTCTGTCATGGAATGATAGGCTCAGTGGGGATTTCTGGCAACACAATAAATAAATGACACATTTGAGTTGAGCATTTGTGCATTGTTCCTGCTGTTACCTCTGCCTTTATCAAGACAACCACAAGCTATTCTTAGCCACAGGATCTTGGTGAGATAGACTAGTGATTCATGCTCACGGCCTAAAGGTTCACCAAAGTCTGGGCCCTAACAGCAACTGGGTGGAAGTACAGAGGTTCTCACGAAGCAACAGGGCCAGACCAAGAGAAGCAGAAGGGCTGCATAGCACAGCCCCTCAACTTTTGAGTCCGTCTTCAGTGTGTACTTAGCCAGAACCCACATCTGACATTCTATCCCCTGGCAGTCAAATTTCCCAATGCACAGACTTTTTAATGTAGCTGCACTGAACTTAGACATGTGTCAACAACGTTGGTTCACTACCGACAAAATGCTGCTTTTATCAAGCCAGCCTCCCAGCGGGAGCCTACATCACCGAATTTTCAATGATACCATGAGATTTCCTGCGACCCAGGAATTGAAGATGAGCAAGTGCCTGAAAGCTTTCATAGAGGATGAAAAAGATGTGAGGCTGGCTTCTTCGGAAGGGCTCAGGAAACAGCAGGAGATAGAGACTAGCAGGACTGCTGACACAGAGGAAAGGAATGTTGGGAACATTCATTCTCCATGACAGCTTCTCTAGGGTAAAGGAAGCAGCGTTTGACAAAAAACAGACAAGAGTTCAGAATCTAGCCACTTGTGGAGGCACAAAAATAGCTCTAGGAAGGAAGGAGGACCACAGTACACAAACTAAAGGGACCCAACTTTTTCTATGATTACGACACCACTTCAAAACTCCAGGGAGGTTTTTTTCAGCTCCATTTCCAAAGCTCCTATCAGAAAGAATGTAAAAAAAAAAAAAAAAAAAAAAAAAGAAAGAAAGAAAGAAAGAAGGAAGGAAAGAAAGTTTCTTCCAGAAAGTACAAAAGCACAGAGGAATGAGACTGAAGGAGACTGAAAGAGTCCGGCTCTTTTGCCAATACAGGTGCAATACAAAGAAATAATGTCAGACACAACAAAGTCTTCCATGCTTTCTCCTGCTACCATCAAGACGAGAAATTAGTTTCTTCTGTTTCTTACTGCATTACCAAGTTTTAATGTATGCAAACATTTTAAAATTTACAACCTTTGCTATTTCATAAAGTTCCAACCAGCTCCCTAGTTAAAAATCCTTCCAAAGTAAATGTTAGGGGGTAAAGAGTGCCATGGGGATCTGATGGGAAGCTAGAAATTGTAAGTGAGAAACAAAGTTTATTTTTAAAAAATTTCTATCCTACTAGAGAAGATCAACAAGGCAAAAGGTACCTCCTGACAATAGTGATCTTATATGAATTGGTGGAGTGTTGCAAAGGCATATGGATATTTTTCTCCTGCTTGCTCTACTGTGGAGATTAATAGAAGGAAAAAGAAAAAAAATCATTTGAAACTGAGCTTTCCATCTAAGAGAGGAAGAAAGCACACAAAGGCTCTGGATCTGTGTCAAGGGGAGTGAATGATATTTTAGAAGTCTGGCAGGAAACCAAAGTGCTACACCCACATACAAAGCTCCACGGCTTTCAACATGCTAACTAGCCCACAAATTTCTCCAGCTGGGAAGCAGTGTCAGGACTTGGAAATTGTGAGATGGGTGAGGCTGCCTGGCCCCATTGCTCACTAACACTCCAAAATGAGAATGGAGGGACTGTACTTTAAAGAAATTTTCACTTTTGGCCTTAGAGAATCCCAGGGCAAAAGGAGAAAAAAAACAGAAAGAAAATTACAGTGAGGAATAATTTACCTTCGGAGAACAGTTGAAATGCATACCGGGTACTGGGAGTGTGGTTACATACATTGTAATACACCGATACAGGTACAGCGTGCCAACTATGCAGAAAAATCTTCTGCTAATAATAGACCTAGAAAAAGGGAAAAACAGGGCAGATTCTCAGTCAAGAAGTTCTGCAGGTTCATTAACTTTATGTTTGCAATGACCCAAAAAGACAAACAAATTCAAAAAACTACTTGCAAGCTTGAAACCAGAATGCTACAACTACAAAATAGATTAAGACAAAGAGTTTGAGAATAATGTGAGGGGTGTGTGTGTGTGATTTTTAAAAAAATACTTACTGGCCAAAAGAGTTTAAACCACTGTCAACTGCCCAGGTTGCATGAGGGTTTCATGAGTTGTGCTTGGGTTTCATGAAACGTTAAATGTTATCTTGAGTTGACATTCAACTGATACACAAGTGGACCCCACTCTGTCAGGTCAGGCCCACTGAGTATCTACAGCTACACATTTAGAGAGTTTTTCTGTCATAAAAGGGAAGATGTTCAGAAAAGCTGAGTAACAACAGAATGAGAATTTAAAACATTTATGCCATTTAATAAGTCAAAGTCATTAAGAAATTTTACTCACACACTTCAGACACTGACACTGATTATCTGAGGCAAGGTGATGCCAAGAAAAGAATCTATTCAACAACCTCCAACTCCCATCCTAATCCCTACATACTATATGGCTGCAGGACAGAAAACTTCTCTAAATCTCAATTTCCTTATCAGTAAAATAGGATTAAGAGCATTAAAAATAATGGATGGAAAATATTTACCATAAGGTAGGTATAAATGGTAGCTATCAAGTGTGTAAGTTATGTGGATGAATACAAAAGTAAGCAACAATTAGAAATACTTTTTTAAGTGGTTTGCATTAAAATTATGTTGTATATACATGTAAACATGTATACTGAGTCTGATAACTTCTCCTAATAAATATCAAATTTACTTAATCTCATGAAGGTAAACCTAAGTGAATCCTGGACAAGAACACTCTTTCCTTCTCTCCCTTTCTCCTATTCTGTTCGACCACAGGCCAGGCCAGAATCACTATCCTCTGGGTCTCCTCTTCCTCAAGCTTGGGGAATTCAAGTTTCGAGTTTTCCTTGGCCTAAGACCACCTGAGTTAAATAAACAAGAAAAAGTCAGAAAGAGTAGATAGGCCTTCCTCTTAAAATGTTCAGCATTCAGTCACTCTGTAATTGTATGGTATCGGAATATTATTATTCAGGACAGGCATTTCTACTCAGTATGGTAGCGAGAGGAGCATTTGTCTCACTTGAACAAAAGAAACAAAGTGCTACATTACTTGAGTGAAAAAAAAAAAGAAATTTAAAAAAGCATGCAACTATATCTATGTCACATTCCAACCTACTCAGTCCATGTAATGTCACTGGGCTTTTTGAGAAGAATTTGGGTATTTCATCACCTTAACTAGAGTTCTACCACTAGGTCAGAACTGTTTACCATGGAAGTGGTCTATTTTCTTCTAGTGAAGCTATGTATGACACCTCCAGACACAAGAAGCTATTGACATTAAGCTGTCTTAGAAAGGTACAGGTCTCTAATTTCAAGTACAATGAAAAGCACTTTATAATTGAACAATATAATGAGGGACAATACCAGAGGAAAAATTCTAGTCTATAAATGCCTTTGTTGAGAATACCAAGAAAGAAATACCACAAGTTGCACAGTATAATTGTCATCTTTCTTAAAAACAAAATGTCCCCTTTAGCCATCCTCTATAAACAAGTAGGAATTGTTTGCAATCTCATTTGAACTATACAAGAAACACTCAGGACAGGGGCTGGCACTGCAGCATGGTGGGTAAAGCCACTGCCTGCAGTGCTGGCATCCCATATGCGCACCAGTTCAAGTACCGGCTGCTCTACTTCCAATCCAGCTCCCTGCTAATGGCCTGGGAAAGCAGCAGAAGATGGCCCAAGTGCTTGGGCCCCTGCACCTGCATGGGAGACCCAGAAGAAACTCCCAGCTCCTGGCTTCAGATCTGCACAGTTCTAGCAGTTGCGGCAAATTGGGGAGTGAACCAGCAGATAGAAGATCTCTCTCTTTCTCTGCCTCTAATTCTGCCTTTCAAATAAATAAATAAATCTTAAAAAAAAAAAAAAGAAATGCTCAGGAAAAAATTGTCAAGTTTATATCTGTTGAACTTTTTAAAGGAAGGATAATAAAATTACTGCACTTGGAAAGATTGTGAGCTTAAAATAATTTTGCCTGATCATTTCATACACAAAGATAGATATAAACCCCAATAAATACTCCTGTTCTTTGAAGTTACCTTTTTTTAAAAAAAAATATTTATTTATATATTTGAGAGGTAGAGATACAGACAGGGAGAGGGAAATACAGAGAGAAATGTCCTCCATCTGCTGGTTCACTCCCCAAATGGCCCCAAGGGCTGGGGCTGGGCCTTTCTTTAGTCAGGAACCAGGAGCTTCTTCTGGGTTTCCCATGTGGGTGCAAGGGTCCAAGCACTTGGGCCATCTTCCACTTCTTTCTCAAGTCATAAGCAGAGAGCTGGATCAGAAGAAGAGCAACTGGGACATGAACTGGTGCCCATTTTGGATGCTGGCGCAACAGGTGGAGGCTTAGCCAACTATGCCATAGTGCTGGCCCCCCAAAACTATTTCTTTATCTCAAATTTGAATCACATGTGAGTACCAATGAAATGATTTCAGAATTATCTGAGAATGAAGTAAATAAAAGGAAAATATTGATTGCTCAGTCCCATTTAATATTTGACTTGAAGTGAAAAAGTCAAATGAAGTTATCCATGTGAATTTGTCAATGTTGACAACAGGGTAACAAGTTGGATGCGGCTGTTTCTAACAATTTTTTGATCTCTGGAATTTATTTAAATTTTTTTTTCAAAATCTTTTTGTTTAGGTTAAACAACAATCTTTTATCATAAACTTAAAAAGGCAGAGCAAAAAAGCGTTTCAAAGAATTGTATGAAATTATGGGTATTCATTCCCTTAACCAAAAAATCTCATACATTTAGAATTCTTATTTACTTAAAAGTTTAAAAGCTCGACATGTGTTTTAAAAGAAAACCACAGAAGAAATACTAATGAGCTATTACTAGGCATGAAGCAAATGCCAAAACAGAAGATGCATGATGGAATTCTCAGAAGCATATGATACTCTGCTGTGATGCACACCTCTCCTTTCATGCTGGGGAGAAGTCTGCTTCCCACCTGCTCACACTTTACAGTGAGGACGTCTCCGGGACCTGTGCTTGGCTAGTTAGCTATTCTTCTCCCAAACTTGTTTTAGGGCACATGTTCATTACTACTTTTTCTGGGAGCAAAGAAAAACACCTATGAAATCTAATGTCAAGGGAAGATGAGTACAAGTACTAATATTCTATAGAGTATAAAGGTTTGCTATAATGGTAGATTATTTCCAGTACAGGTGACTTAAATATCTTAAATATCCCCTATTCAAAAAGGAAAAAATGCTCAGCACTTGATCAAGATTAGTTTTAAAACAGCAGTGGTAGGGGTGTGGGTTCAGTTAAGACGTCAGTTAAGATGCCCGTATCCCACATCTGAGTACTTGGTTGGATTCTCAATTCCACTCCCAATCGCAGCTTCCTGTTAACGTGCACCCAGGGAGGTGACAGGTGATGGCCCAAATACTGGGGTTCCTGACACCCACGTGGGAGGACAAAGTTCTCGACTCCCGGCTTTGGCCAGACCCGGCCTGTGGGAAGTGAACCAGTGGATGGGGGCTCTATCAGTGTCTGTCACTGCCTCACTCTTTACCTCCCTCCCTCTATCTCAAAACAAACAAACAAACAAATAAGGTAAACAGCAGTACTACAGTGCTTTTGGTGTTTGGTACGACAGTCTAAAATTCTAACACACAAATGGTGAAAGAAACTAAGGTGCTGCAGTGAGACTAAAATACGGGGAGGTCTGTTTTACACAACTTGTCTCTTCCAACAACTCCACGACAGGCAGACAGACCAATTCTTCATGCTCAGACCTGGTCTCTGAGCTGTTTAAGGAAGCTGTGGCTTTTAGAAACAAACTGGCTCCGCTATACAGCAGTGGAACGAAACAACAACTGAAAACCTGGGGCAGCACACGAGGCAGAGCACACGCAGTGGAACCCAGAGACGAGGAGACGGAAATTCAGGCAGCGCCAGGAGAGCCGGTGCGCGACTCAGCCAGTGACTTCGGTATGTGAAACACGGACAATGCATCATCGAGCTGTGTCTGTGTCTGTACTCAGATGCCAGCTCTAACTCTAACACTTAGTGACCTTGGCCATCTCGATCAATGTCCTTCAAAATCAGCTTCCTCAACAGCGAGGGGGAGAAAATGGACACTGCTTATGAATCAGAGAAATGGACTAGAAATACGTAGAAAGGCTATGAAATAGGACCAAGAATGGGGCATCGGGCTATTCATTACCTATACTTTCTTTAAACATTTGATTCTAAATACAAGAGGTTAGAAAAACAAAGTAATTTTCTTTAGAGCCAATGACCACACAACTAAAACCTTGTGTGTGTGTGTGTGTGTGTGTGTGTTTTGTTTGTTTGTTTGTTTTACTGATATATTTCTTCAGGGGTGGTATGAACAGCAGCAACTGTTTTGCCAAATTTCTCCTATATGCCAACCTCTGGGCCACTCAGTTCTTAAAATAAGCCAGCAATGCACAATGCACAGCTATAATCCTGATTTTATAGCTGGGAAAACTGTAGTTCAGAGAGTTTAAATGGAAATACATCATGCAAGACAAAAATATCCAAGAAACTGTTTTACATTACGGAAGAAATCCCAATTTTGACGACCTATGGATGAACATTCTTTGTATTTCAGTTATATTACAAAGGCTACTTGACTCAAATTTTCACTAAGTTGGTGTTTTATGTCCTATTTTATATTGACCAGAATTCTGTAAAATAAGCAATTTGATACTTTAATAACTATATTAGTCACTAAAGTACTGAAAAGAATCCTTCTACTAACAGACATCCAAAATCAAATATGTCACTTTTTCACTGTTGACACCTGTGATGAGTTAATTTGCTTATTACTACTTCTATACA